GTAAAGAGCCAGCCACCCCTCCGCGCCTGCCCTCCACCCCCCACCGGGCTCCTTTGTTTCAGAAATCTTGGCTGATTTCCTTATGTGACCATTTGGGCCATTTGCTTTTCTCTTCCAGCGCTTTAAATTCACGATCTTATGTTTTAAAGTCACCGATCTAGAGCGAGCCCACCAAAGCCTGGGCCTAAACCCCCCACCTAGATAAAAGCAGAACCAGGACCTGTGAATAACAAACCTTTTTGGTCCTCAAATTTCCTGATGGTTATTGCTGAAGGCATCTTGTTAGCGTAAGAACCACAGGGGCCGGTCCAGCCACAACATTAGGCTGAGAGCAGCACAAAATGTTTGTCCAAGATCTCTGGGCTAGTAAGTGCAAGTTGGGATCTGAACTCAGGTCTGAGAGCAAAGCGTAAGTTCCTAAGCACGCCTTTTTCTAGCCTGGCTCAATCTCCCTCTTGCTCCTACATCTTTTTTTTTTTTTTTAATCTTTATTTTTGGGAGGGGGGCAGGGGGGGGGGGGGGGGGGGGGCCGGGGACCCGAAGCGGCTCTTTGTAGCTGACCATGCACCCTGAGTAAAGTATGGCATTCTGGTGTTCTGCTTTAATGAGGTTGCACGGACATATCTGTGCCCAAATGGCCCCGTCAGTATGGAGAAAACACCGCTTTTTATTACAAATCCCTGGATCTTACTCCACCCTTACTCCATCCCTGGGCGGATCTTACTCCGCCCCAGCCCACTTTCTGGCAGGCTTTTCATTTCTACTTCTTCGAGTTTGTATTATTTGATTTTCTATTAGTACGTATCATGTTTATAATCAGGAAAAACAATGAGGATATTACAAGTGTAACGGAAATAGATTAGCCTCTAAAGTGCCGTAGTCGGTTCGGTCCTCCCAAACCATCATTACCAAGGCTGTTTCCAATGTTAGACATGCTGAATGGGGGCACCTGGGCGGCTCAGTCCGTTAAGCGTCTGACTTTGACTCAGGTCATGATCTCGCAGTTTGTGGTTTTGAGCCCCGCGTCGAGCTCGGTGCTGGCGGTAGGTGGTATGTATGGAGCCCAGTCAGGAATCTCTCTTTGCCGGGCTTACTCTCTCTGCCCCTCCCCCACTTGCACTCTTTCTCTCCGTCAAAATAATGACTAAACTTAAAAAAAAAAAAAGATATGTTGAATGTGTGTTACTGAGACTTGCCAGAAATTTAATAGAAAAGATCCTGAGCAGTCTGCAGCTGAGATGACCCAAACTATCCCCTTTTCCCCAGGGTCCAATTTATTCTCAACCAAACAAGATTAGCACAATAAGCAAACCTATAAAAAGCAGAGGTGTGTCTGTCTAGAATTTCAATTTTTTTTTTTAACGTTTATTTTATTTTTGAGACAGAGAGAGGCACAGAGCATGAACGGGGGCGGGGCAGAGAGAGGGAGACACAGAATCGGAAGCAGGCTCCAGGCTCTGAGCCATCAGCCCAGAGCCCGACACGGGGCTCGAACTCACGGACCGTGAGATCGTGACCTGAGCTGAAGTCAGACACTTAACCGACTGAGCCACCCAGGTGCCCCTAGAATTTCAAATGGAAACCAAAATTCGGTTCAATCACTAAGAAGCTAAATCTATTTGTTCGTTAGAAGGAAATGAGTATGGCTGTTGGAGCTTTAAGGGAGAAATAGGAGTGGGGTGCCTGGGTGGCTCAGTCGGTTGAGTGTCCGACTTCAGCTCAGGTCAGAATCTCGCAGTTTGTGAGTTCGAGCCCCGTGTCGGGCTCTGTGCTGACGGCTCAGAGCCTGGAGCCTGTTTTGGATTCCGTGTCTCCCTCTCTCTCTGCCCCTTCCCCGCTCGTGCTCTGTCTCTGTCTCTCAAAAATGAATAAACGTGAAAAACAAATTTAAAAACAAGGGAGAAATAGGAGAACTGGGGATCCAGTTCATCCAAGAAGCAAGAGAATCCTCAAAGGATGAGCAGACCCTTCTCAAAGTGATGAACGGCCTTTTCCAAGACAGGTACGTGTGATAACCATGTGACATCTAGTTAAATCCAGATGGTGCCCGACCCCCAGCCCTCCACACACCCCCAGCTCTGAGGCACCCCACCCCTCACTCGCGCACCATTCTGAATAAAGCTGATATGAACATCATAGTCAAATTTGGTAACAACCCCCGCTCAGTCTCTCTGCAGAATGTCTTTTGCTCCGTTTGCTCAGCCAACATCCTAAGGTGTTCATCTTTAGCCCAGCATTCTGATCCCTGGATGGTCTTACGTGGCTCTGTGGCTGGAACACAGCTCCCTATACCTTGATAACCCAAATCTTTATTTCCAGTGCAGACCCTCTGCTGACCTCTAACCCTGTATGTTCCCTTGCCTCCGCCTCGAGGTCATCAGGTCTCTCGGTCCCCAGACAGCTCAAACTCGACATGTCTAAAACACAGCTGATTGTTTTAGAACCTTGGTCTCTTATATTAATTCTTTCACTGAATATCACCACCATTGGTAGACTCTCCAAAGCCAGAAATCTGGGCCTCATGCTAGATTCTTCTTTTGCCTTCACAACCCCACACCAGGTCTCTGCCGAGTCCTGGTGATTCTGCCTACTCAGTATTTACCAAATCTGCCTCTTTTTTTTTCCCTGTCTCGGCATCTGTGTCACCTCTGGCCTTGATCTAATTGGTCCAACAGTCTCCTAATTGGTCTTCCTACTCTCCATACCCTTCCGAAGAATCCTCTTCAAAGGTCGGACTATCTCCTTCTACTTCATAAAACTCAATGGCTCCACGTCTGCACATTCTAGAAATTCCTCCATGATCTGACTCCTGTTGACCTCTTTAGGCTCATCTCCCCCTACTTTCCTCGAGCTCACGCCAAGCACTAGCCCAGGGGCAGACCCAGGTACTGTGGGACCTAAAGCTTACACGATTGGAAAGGCCCTCCAAGAAAGACAAAACAACATTATGACTAAAAATCAGTCACAGGGCCTTGGAAGGGCCTATGTAAGAGGGGGCCCCGAGGCTTAAGTTTCATTAGCTTCACAGTAAACCTGCCTCTGAGCTAGCCAAACAGAGCAAGTGACAGTTCCTTAGAATGTTCTTCCACACTTTTTTTTTTTAATGTTTTATTTATTTTTGAGACACAGAGAGACAGAGCATGAGCAGGGGAGGGGCAGAGAGAGAGGGAGACACAGAACGGGAAGCAGGCTCCAGGCTCTGAGCTATCAGCACAGAGCCCGATGTGGGGCTCGAACTCACAAACCGTGAGATCATGACCTGACACGAAGTCGGACGCTTAACTGACTGCGCCACCCAGGCGCCCCTCTTCCACACTTCTTTGTCTCTGTACAAACAGTCCCCCCGGCCTGGACTGCCCTTCCCTCCCTTCCCTCCCTTCCCTTGTCTGTCTGGCAAGAGTTCATCCTTCAAGGGCCAGCTCAGGGGGCACTTCCTCCGTGAAGGCCTCCCTGACATCCCCACCTGGAACTGACTCTTCTCTCCTTCATGTGCGCATGGTAACTTGACCTTCAGCTCTTTGTCCCCTGTCCTTTACAAAGCATATCGCACTCGATGGAACTTATTTGCTCAAAACCGGCCTTCCCTGTGACTGCCTCAAGGGCAGAGACAAAGTCATTCCGTTTTAGGTTGTCAGGGCATGGCAGTGCCCCGGCATGTCTACCCAATGGAATGGAGACCTCACCAGGCAAAGCGGGCCGAGTAGAATGGTTGATGTAAACAGGGACCCCGGGGGGAGATGGCGCTTGCGTCGGCAGCCTGCACACGCCATTTGGGGAGGACGTCCAGGAAGGACCCTGTGGGGAGGTCCTCCCCGTGGCTTCCCACCAGCCTCCAGACCCCATGGCTTTCCTTACCTGTCTTCCTTGTTGATCTGGTCCCCAAAGCCCACTGTGCTCACAATTGTGAGCTTGAGCCCCACGTTGCTCTCTTGGAGGTCATAGGTGTTGGACCGGAGCTGGACACCCGGCTGCGTGTGGGTGGCTGGCTCCCCCTCAAACTTGGTGTTGAACAGGGTGTCCATGAGGGTCGACTTGCCCAACCCGGTCTCTCCTGAAAAGCAAAAGGATAAATGACGGTCTGTTCACACGGGGACCCTGCATGCATTCCGTATCAGGTTTTGGATGTCTTTTCATTGACATGGAAACATGTACATGATGAGACAGTAAATGAAGAGCGTATGAAACTATACAGACGAGGGGCACCTGGGTGGCTCAGTCGGTTGAACGTCGGGACTCTTGATTTCCGCTCAGGTCGTGATCTCAACAGCCCTGGGATGTATTAGCCAGTAGCATCTCAGGGTAGTGGCATTGGGGTAATTCTCCTTTTAGTCTTCCTACTTTTGTGTTACTTGAAGGTTAATACGCATTGCTTTTATAGTCAGAAAAAGAAACTACGTACAGGCAGTGATGGAGAGGTAGGGTTATACCTGGGAAAAGTCCGGAAGGAAATACAATATACTCTTACCAAGGGCTACCACTGGGTGCTGGGCTTATGCTCGGTTTTCATCTCTCCCTTTAAATGCTTTTGTGTATTTTCCAGGTTGGCTATGTGGAACACAGATAGCTTTTGTAAGAAAAATTAAAGGGCTATTTTCGATTTTAAAAGAAAGGGACAGTGGTCCCTTGTCAAATAAATTATCTTCTGAGGATGCCCAAACGTGTACCCCAGGAAGGGGGGGGGCATTTTTAGCTAATGGGGAGGGAATTTAGCAGGCCACAAATTCTCCTCCTTCAATTTCAAACAAACCCGTCGTGTGTTTGTTGAACTAACAGGCTGCAGAATACTAATAAATTACACCACAAGAATCTCAAGTCTTGACTTTCACACCAGGGAGACGAGTCGGGGAAAGGCCGTGGGGACCGGCGAAGCATTCGGGAGGTCATTCCTGGGGGATTGGAGGGGATGTCAAGCCACTGCCAGGAGCTAAGGGGTCTTCAGGGAAAGAAGACATTGGGGGAAACTTGGTGGCATGGCAGTTGGGCAAGAATGTCCCATGAGGCCACAAGCTGGGCCGGGTACTACAGGCCCTTATCATCTCCATGGATCCAGACTATTTGGGCCTCCGCCCCAACGCCCGGCGATTCAGGAATGCTAGGAATAGAAGAGTCAGTAGCTAATTACCCTGGATTGCCTCTGGAATACCTAGACCACCCTGCTATTCTGGTATCCTCACCCTTTGCTCCCCTTCCCCCCTCCCCACCCCTGCGATGTCTCCCCAGGGGGCAGTGGGTCAGCACTGGGCAAGTCCTGGCCTGGCAAATCGCCCCCGCCCTTTTGTGACCGACAGTCCAAATCTGCAAGGGGGGGGGGGAGGTCCATGGCCAGGGTTGGAGCTACAGTGTGTATAAATGCACAACGGCCCGTCTGCTCCCCACCCTCTGGGAGGAGGCCATCTTACATGCCTTCTATCGTGAATAATGAGCTCTGAATGCAGGACGTGCTTTTTCAAATATCTGTCAACGATGAGAGAGCTTTCTGTGTGTGCAGAGATTGGGTGAGAGAGAGAGAACAAGAAGAACATTCAGCTCAGCCCGGCTCCCCAGCCCCCCAGCCCAATTCCACAGCCAGGTCTGACTAACGTGGTTGATTGCCAGGGTGCAGGAAACTGGTTCCTCACACAGATCATGTTTCCAGCCAAGGTCTGCTATACCTATTAGCTGCAAAGATTCTCCCAGAAGAGGCCCCTTTTTCTTCCTCCCTAAAGGAACAGGAAGTATTTGGGGCTCAAGAAAAATTTGGTGAGGTGGGGCCTTTGCAATGGGAGGTGACAGAGTTGGCCAAGCACCGGGAATGTATCACCCCCCCCATCCCCGCCCAAGGTGGGGGTGTGGCACCTCTGAGGAGGGAACACAGCTCACCCTTAAATCACCTTCCCTCTGGGCGCTGCCGTTCAAGCTACATTTGAGCCCATCTTTCTTTTTTAAGTTTATGTATTTATTTTTGAGAGAGAGAGGGAGGGAGGGAGCTGGGGAGAGGGAGAACCACCGGGGGAGGGGCAGAGAGAGGGGGACAAAGGATCTGAAGCGGGGCTCGAAGCACCGAACCATGAGATCGTGACCTGAACTGAACCATGAGATCATGACCTGAGCCAAAGTCAGACGCTCAACCGACTGAGCCACCCAGGCGCCCCTTGAGCCCATCTTCATGCGTGCCTGATGACTTTTCCATGTGCGTCCGCGCCTCCACCCCCTCCTGTTCCGTGAGCTCTTTGCTGAATGCCCCGCAGCTCCTAGAGTGGTGGGCCTTGACTCCCCCGCACCCAGAGCTGGCTCCTTGGCCCCCCACCCCCCATCCTAAGGATTCGAAGAGACCAGGGGATGGGGCATGTTCCCGCACTCCCGGGCGCGCCCGACCAGGGCGCACACAGAGGCGTCAGGAGCAAGGTACAGACTGCCTGCCGGCTGCTCTGTTTGCACAGCTGGACGGATGGAGGCCGGCCAGGCAGGGCAGGGCAGGGCAGCAGGGAGGAGCAGCAGGACAAATGACCACCCGAATGCCTGCCAGCACGAAAGGGCTGTGGAAATTAGATGCCCAATGATGAGTGGAAGAAAAGAACCCGCGGGTGTCCAGGGAATCGTGATAAATGCAACATGAGAAGAGGGCAGAAAATCAAGCGAGCCGGTGCCGCGGCTATCGAGTGCTCCCGGCTATCGAGTGCTCCCGTTCCCATTTCCCATCACTGTGGAGCCTGGGGGGCGCGGGGGGGGGGGGTCTCTCTTAATGGTTGGCGCAGACCCAGCCTGAGCCTAGGATGCTGTCTCCTCCCACGCTGCCCTGGGCCCAGCATTGAGGAAGATCAGGTCAGCCGCCTCCACACCCCTGCAGGAAGGTGGGGACTTGGCAGATTCCAGCAGGAAACCTCGGGAGCCCCGAGGGGTCCATTTCTCTCTCCCCCTCCCTCCTTGTACAGACGGCAGGGTTTCTGAGCCCTTTTTAAACCATCACCACCGGCCAGGAGGATTCCATCTCACTTGGCTTAATGTAGACGGTATTCTGGAAACACCAGGTTTTTTAGAAAAGAGTTGCAGTTTACAACACGTAGTGTGAAATACGTCGTCGCAAACTATACCCCCTGGGATCGTCCCATGTCGACCTCTCTACTTAGCCCTTCTCCTCTGCGTCCTCTGGCACCTTGTGTAAGTAAGTCCTTGCAAGCGATGAACTGCAGAGTCCCAGCCGGGTCGTCGGTGGATGCCCAGCCAAGGGCGTTCCCCTCTCTGGGCCCCAGTCTCTTTTTCCATAAAATGAGCAGGTTGGAGTAATGATAATAGCTATGGTTTCTGGAGCACTTACTATGTGCCAGGCACCTGCTGGGATACTTCTATTTTCTTATCCATTCCCCACAATAAACCTATGAGAGCTACTACCGTTTGCCCTTAATAAGAGTCAGCCAAGCCACTCCCCAGCCACGTGAATTCGCCCCACTCCTCGGTCTCTCCGCACCTCACCTTCTTCATCTGTAAAATGTGGAGGGAAGAGCTGGTCTAGGGTCACGACGTAGTAAGTAACCGAGTCAGTACTGAATCCAGTCAGTCTGACACTGGAGCCCATACCTCTGACCCACATGCCTTCCGTGCGTCCCACAGGCGTGCTATGGTGGGGTTCATTTGGTCACTGGACCAATGTTCACGGAGCCTCTAATAGAAGCCACGCGCAATTTTAAGGGGCCAAAGAGACAGCGATGAACAGGACAGCCACAGTCCCTGTTCACACGGAGCTCAGGGTCACATGAAGCTAAAGTGCCTGCCAGCTCCAAATACTGGAATAAACCAAGAGAGCGGTCCGGGAGTTCAACAAGGAGGTGATGTTCAAAAGGACACCCTCCAGGAACTCTAGGGAGCCTACGGACAAGGACAAGGTCATGCCTGGCTCTGTGAGCTTCCCGATCTTCTCTCCTTCCTGATCTTGCCGAGGCCTGGCCGACAGGGGCGCGCTGCTCCCCCAGCTTCCCGCAGACGATCCCAACCCCTCATGCAACCACGTCGCGTTGGCACCTTCAAATCAGCTGAAGTGGGCAAAGGCTACAAACCAAAGCGGCGTTTCCCCCGAGAGAGGGTTGCTGCACGCTCTCGCACCACGGCTCGCAGCCCGCCTTCGACAGGTGAGCGGCTGCCCTTCCCAGAGATGAACGCGTGACGCCATCGGCCCCTGACCTTGACAGAAGGCTGGCTGTCCCTCCCCGTCTCTCCAGTGAGCCTCAATCCTGCTTCTCTCGCGCGTTTCCATTCCAAGTTCAACACAGGCAAGTTGAGCCTGGAATCCCGAGCAGCTTCAAAGTAAATATTATCATTATGACTCTTTGCACTCCTCACAGGCATTCCTGCTGCTGGCACATTCGGAAGGCTGTGTCTCTTCGGAGCTCTTTCCCAGCAGTGCAAAGCAACGGGCCCCAGAACATGGGTACTGCTGGTTCCAGCGGCTCCTCGGAGGTCCTCCTGTACTGTATCTAGCTAGGATCATGGGACCTTTGCAATTTCCAAAGCTAAGCGACTGGTATGCGGGGTTTTTTTTTCGTCAGGGGAGTGGGAGGGCGAGGGGAACCTCATCCCATTCAGTAATTATCGCCAACCATAGAAAATCTGCTCGAGGGGAGTCATGATATGCCCACACGCATGTGCCTCGCCCTCTGAAAATAATAACTGTGCGGCACCTGGGTGGCTCAGTCAGTTGAGCGTCTGACTTGGACTCAGGTCATGATCCTGTGGTTCGTGGGTTCGAGCCCCACATCCGGCTCGCCGCTGTCAGCCTGTCAGTGCGGAGCCCGCTTCGGATCCTCTGTTGCCGTCTCTCTGCACCTCCCCTGCTCGTACTCTCCCTAACCCAAAATAAAAATAAGTATCTAAAAAAAAATGGGGCGCCTGGGTGGCTCAGTCGGTTAAGCGTCCGACTTCGGCTCAGGTCATGATCTCACGGTTTGTGGGTTCCAGTCCCGCGTCGGGCTCTGTACTGACAGCGCAGAGCCTGCTTGGGATTCTCTGTCTGCCTCTCTCTGCCCCTCCACCCCTCAAAAATAAGTAAGTAAACTTTTCAAAAAATGTTTACTTATTTTTTGAGAGAGAAAGAAGAGAGCGTAAGCAGGGGAGGGGCAGAGAGAGAAATAGAGGATCCGAAGCAAGCTCTGCCCTGTCAACACAGAGCCTGAGCAGGGCTCAAGAACCACGAACCGTTGAGATCATGACCTGAGCCAAAGTCGGACGCTTAACCGACTGAGCCACCCAGGCGCCCCAATAGATAAACGTTTTTAAAAATGCCCTATGAAAAAAGAAGAGAAAATCCTTTGGGGGCATATAGTCTATGCCTTAACAGAATCATTTTATAACAGTCATTAAGGGAGTAAACCTGATAGTTATGCACAGGCGGTAAGCATGACAGAATGGCCACGGAAAGTCCCGGGAGAGAAAAGGTCACCTTCGGCAGTCAAGCTGCGGACCCTTCACCAAGTCAGTGACAGTACCCGGCCCCATGGCTGAGCTGAGATTGCAGCCTTAGAGCCATTCTAAACCACACGTGACCTTGGCCCAAATTGTGGGTTCTCTGAGCAATGACGGGGTTGTGAACACAGACAGAGAGCAGGATGCGTGAATCACAGGCTGTTTGGGATCAGGGATGGGGAATGAACTTAACCCAGGCCAGGTTGGGGGCATTCAAGGCAGGCGCCTGCGGCACCAAGAGAGGGGCTCATAGGGCTATTTCCGAGACCTGGCAAGCAGGGAAAGAAAGAGAGGGGGTGGGTCTTCGGGGGCGAGGGTCTCTTTCCGACTCTTCCCCCTCCTGAAGGGTCTGGGGCAGTTCCCCAGCAGGTGCACGCGGAAGCAGCTGTAGCCGTCCAGCACCTGGGTGGGAACCGGAGGACAGGGGTTTACTCTTTCTCCCACCCACTGCCTGGAGCTCGGCTGCCTCCTCCTCTGGGCCCTAGGGGAGCCCGTGGTCCCCAGATCCCATTGCCCTTCACCTCTCGCCCTCGGAGAGCCGTTCTGATTTACATGGCCTCCCTCCTGAAGCTGTACTCACCCACCCAACTGCACTCGGTTGAAAGGCTGCTGAGGGCGGCCCTGTCACTTCACCTTTCATCTCCTCAACTTCAGTACAGGTCATACGGAGCTCTGGGAGGAATGCCAAGGGAATCCAATATGTTTGTGCGGAAATCTTTCAGTAATCAAGTATTATGCGAAATAAGTTGGCCAATAGCCAAAGACTGGAGAGGTTTGGCAGTGCTAATATTGGATGTGATAGCACCTTGCGGTTGATCACCGTGGCTTCTGTTGATTTTGTGTCCTTCTCCTAACAGCATCTCATCATAACCACGAGCAGGCTTCTGGCATTTGAAGAATTAATGGCCTCGCTGCGGACTCTAAAGGCCCGTGACGCGTCATTCTGTAAAGCACACATTTCCATCTCACGGGCTCCCAAGCTGATGTGTGGGAGTGAGTCATTCGGCTAGTGAGTGAGCCTAGCTGACTGCCTGTCGTCCACACTGAGAAGTGGCCTTCTTCTCTCTTCATCTTCCAGCGGGCAGTTACTCACCTACAGAAAACGATCTGACAAAGGGTGCTAAGGGTAGAGGAAAAGAAAAATAACAAGTCCTAGAAAATGAATGAGCTTAGACAGAAAACAGAACTTTAGGGGCGCCTGGGTGGCTCAGTGGGTTTAGCGTTTGACTCTTGATGTCGGCTCAGGTCATGGTCTCACGGTTCATGAGATCGAGCCCCGCGTCGCATCGGGCTTTGCACTGACAGCAGGGAGCCTGCTTGGAATATTCTCTCTCTCTCTCTCTCTCTCTCTCTCTCTCTCTCTCTCTGCTCCCACCCCACTCGTGCTCATGTGCTCTCTCGCTCTCTCTCAAAATAAATAATAAAAAACAAGAAAGAAAACAGAACTTTAGACTACATTAAAAGAGTAAAATATCCAATTCAGCAGTGGTTCAGAGCCTCAATGAGAATGAGTTCCCCATACACTCTCTACAAAAATAAGGAAGAGCAATTAGCCAAAGTGTGTGAGTGTACCAACCAGCGGGAAAACGGACTCTATTATGGTATTTACACTACACAATCGTTAAGGTTTAGAAGTAGGTCGCTGAAAATACGCAGGTACACTTTACTGCACTGTGGAGTGAAAATTATATGCTGTGATTGTGTTTGCAAATTTGGGATTTTTTTTAAGGTCTTAAGGAGAGATTCTGAGAGACTGTCAAGGAGCTGTTGCTCCTCGGCTCCAAAGTGCCTTTGTATTCTCAAAGGATGTCGCCCCCCCCCCCCGCAGTTCGAGAAACAGTGGGAGGGGCCAAGGGGGTGGGCCAGACCTGGGGCTTTGTCCTGGCTCCGCCACTTATTCTGGGCTGCCTCCCCTGACTCTCTAATCCTCCCCAAATGTCTGGGTCTCCACCTGCCCCGGGAAGATACAAATGCCACTCGCTCCCTCTGCTCGCTTCGCAGAGTCCTGGTAAGGACTCAAATTGCTACCATGCTGAAGTGTTTGACAGGGATAACGAGTGTTTCCTGTGGGCTTAACTCATTCATTCATTCATTTCAGAAACATTCCTGAGCTCTCTTTGTGCTGTGATTGGCACATTCGAAGTGACCTTAGTCACTGGGGACATGGTCCCCACACTGGAGACTAGAGGTCCAGGTGGAGACAGGCTATAAGAGAATAAAAGAACTTGGCGCTCGGCTGTATGGTCCCTGAACTTGAGCTCCAACTGTGGCAAGCACAACAGGGCTGCAGAGGAACAGACAGCCCCAACCCACTGCCCACAGCTGGTGGGCAGGCACCCTTCCACAGCCACTACCTCCCCCGCCACCCAAATTCTGTCCGGCTCCGGTTTTCTCAGTCCAAAGGAACTTGACAGCCATAGCTGAGCCAGCCAGCACCCTGACCACATTTCCACAGGGTGTCACAGCGCTCAGTTTCCCCCAGGGTACGGCCACGCCTTCTGGTCTGGCCAGGGAAAACTATAATCACAAGCCGGCTGCTTACAAAAGCAAACAGAGGGATAAAAGAGGAAGAAGCGGGGAAAGCACTTTTGCAAATAGATCAGAATGGCTCAGTATTTAACCTAATTACCTGCAAAGCCACATCCAGCCATTAAGGATCCATATTCTGTAATAGAATTTCCTGCTATGGAAATACTCACCCACGCACAGGATGTTGAAGCAGAAACCCTGGCTGACTGACTTATTCACCAGCTGGTCGGGCAAGCTGTCAAACCCCACATGTCCAGCCAGGGGGACAGTTCGGCAGCCTTCACCCTAATTTGGAAGGGGAGGGAGGGGAGAAAAGGAAAACGTGCTTAAAAGCAACCTGGGTCTCACTTCTCATCCAAACGATCTCCGAGCGAGGAAGTAACGCACGCCCAGGCCCCGTGTGTCTTATCTTCCCATAGCTACTCCCGGCTCCAAAGCAGAATGGCTTAGAAATCACCACCGGCTTAGAAATCACAGATTCTTGGGGCACCTGGGTGGCTCAGTCGGATGGGCGCCCGACTTCAGCTCAGGTCATGATCTCGCGGATTGTGAGTGTCGAGCCTCTGTCAGTGCAGAGCCCGCTTCAGATCCTCTGCCCCCCTCTCTCTGCCCCTCCCCTGCTTGAGCTCTCAAAAAGAAATAAATATTAAAAAAAAAAAAAAAAAGAACGAACGAAATCACAGATTCTTAGGTACGGGCATCTCCAGGCTCCGCGATGAATGTCACCCTAGTTCCAGACACAGCAAACTGCAGAGGGGGCTCACGACAGGTGGGAGGGCGGGTTCAGGGGTTCACGGACTTGGGTTAACTCTTGCCTCCACCACTTACAAGCTGGGTAACCTCTCGGAGACCCCGTTTCCTCCCACGTCTGTCCTAGGAGACAGGGGGTCTCGAATGTGCCACAACGTACAACGAGCTTTAAGCACAACGCCTGGTCCATGCCTCTGTGCTCAGCGAACATTACAACAGGACTTCAAAAAAGCAGTTAGTCCTGTCTCGAGGGCATTTTGGGCAACCACAAAGGTGGCTCGGTGTAGAGGTTGAGAGACTAGGCTTTGACCTCTGACAGGTCTCTGTGTGAGAATCCTGCCTCCTTCACCTTCTGACCTCGGACAAGTTACTTAACTTCTCAGAGCCTCCCCACCTGTAAAATCGGGGACGCGTAGTTCCTAGCTCATAGGACAGGGGCGAGGAGGACACAGGATAATGTTCCTCAAGCACGGAACACGGTGCCGGGCCTGTGGTGGGCACTCCGTCAACAGCGGCACCTGTTTTTCTTGCACTGTGAGATCACCCATGTACTCGGACTCCCCCAAATAACACGCGATGCCATGGAACGCCTGTGTCTCCCCCCAGCCAGAGAGAGCGGCCTCCAGGCTTCCGCGGGACCCCTGGTCTCCACAGGGGTCGGCCAGGCCAGTCGCAGCCCCGCAAAGCAGAGGGCCTTTGCTTCCTTCACCTGCTAGTCCCAGAGCTTCCTATCGTTAATGGTTTTACACCAAGATTTCGGTCAACCGGAAAGGCGCCGAGAGCAGTCCAAGAAGGGCATGGTTAGTGCCAGGAGGCCCGCACCGGCATCCCGGGCTGTTTGTTCTAGCAGGCCGTCTTCGTGGTCGACTGCACCTGCTTTGAGCCTAGGTCCCACGGAGAGGGATGGGCTGGGCCCCCTCAGCAGGTCTTCCAAGAGCGAGAGACAGGATCAGGGCCGGGAGCGCCATCTGGCAAGTTCATTACCCTCACGCGTCTCACCCCTCCCCCCACACTCCCGGTGGAGTATTCCTGACACAGCCATATGCCACAGTCTGAGTTGGCGTATTCTGGACCCCAGAGGGGCGCCCGTAAACAGCTGGGTTTCATGCGTGGCCCACACCACTCGGGGCTTGTTCTACACACACCCCTTTCTGCTTCCCCTCACCCTCCACCCCTTTTCTCCTTTTTCTTAACGCAGACGAACGAAGGTGGAAGTTTCCCACCGTTTGCTCTCGGTCCTCACCACTGCAGGGGAGAGAGACTTAAGGGCCAATATGCTTTCTCGATGGATCCTCCTCCGTAGCGGGTGTCGGAAATTGGGACAGACTCAGAGCTGAGGTTTCCTGAGCCGCATTTTATCGCCCCTGGCCGCCTCTTCCTGTGTCCAAATTCAGCACCGTGCAACTCTGGCCTCTGGTCCAAGGGCCAAAAGGAGAGGAAAGGGACTTTTCAAACTGAACGCAGTGGAGAGATGGGGCGAGCCCCACACCTGATGCTTAAAGACTTACGTCACTGTCAACAAAAACTCACAAGAACCTCCCATGTGCCCCTTCCCCGTTACCTCCCACCTAGCACAGTGCCGTAAAGAGTAGAAGGAAGCGTGTATGGGCTTTATTCCCTAGGCAACGGGGTGTGGGGGCCCTTTGAGTGTCTTGAGCGGGGAGAGCCACGATACAGGTTTTCGAAAGATCATTCCAGCTGCGGGGTGTTTGACTGACTGATTGGAGAGAGCGAGCAGAGGCAAGAAGACAGAGGACTCCACTAACACGGACCTGGCAGAGAGGCATCCAGGCACCGTGCCAATACGTGCTGCTTGAACTGAGCCGATCTGACTTGGGACTCAGGAGGGAGGAACAAACTTGAGAGATGTCCTAAAGAAGGGCGATCGCTCAATCAGCGATTGGTGAAGAGAGGGTGAAGGGACAATCAGAGCTCTAAGGCTGCAAGGTTCTAAGCCTGGGAGCTTGGATTGGTGATGGCACCATGGACAGAAAAGAGAGAAGCCAGGAAAGGGTGCTCGCTTAGTGGGGAAGTTGAGGATTCTGGTTTTAGATAAGCTATTACGTTTCCCTCCGGTCTGTATACCTTTTGTTTCTTACAAAATAGGGATAATTCTGTATGCTCCTTTACAAAACCTGGCGCATAATATAGTATGGACCTTTTCTTGAGAAATGAAGCATACTTCTAAAACACTATTTGTGTTGGCCATATAGCATTCCATTGTAGGAATTCACCATATTTTCTTAAGTAATCTTCCACTGCTAGACGTTTAGCATGTTTCCAAGTTTTAAACAGTATGAACAATAATTCTCATTCTTACAGGTGTGCATAGATCTTTGATTATTTCCTTAAGTTGAACCCCTAGAATTGAAGCCTGCTGGGTCCAAAGGCACACACATTTCAAAGACTTCAGTACAGGGGCACCTGGGTGGCTCAGTCCGTTAAGCATCCGACTTCGGCTCAGGTCATGATCTCACAGGTCGTGGGTTTGAGCCCCGAGTTGAGCTCTGTGCTGACGGCTCAGAGCCTGGAGCCTGCTTCCGATTCTGTGTCTCCCTCTCTCTCTCTACCCCTCCTCCCCTCAGGTTCTGTCTTTCTCTCTCTCAAAAGTAAATAATCATTACAAAAATTTTTTGAAAAAGAAAGACTTCAGTACACGCTGAGGAATCACTCAACAGAGAATAAATAGTACAAAGGTCTACTTCGGCCACCAATATGCAATAGTGTCTGTTTGCCCACACTTAGACCAACACCAAGTTTCTGAGGCTTTTTAACCACTGGGAATGGAATCATTGAAAACTGGTATCACAACATTTAGTTTGCACATGAAGGGGAACATTCCTTTTATTGTGTATTCTGTATTGTGTATCTATACACGCATTGTGCATATGCACACATGTACGTGAGTTGCCTATTCAAGTCCTCGCCCATTTTTTAGAACATAGGTGTCTGTCTCTGTCTTCTGGATTTGTAAAAACATTTTATATGGTAAGGACAATAAGGCCGTTTTGATTTTCTGGTGAGATATGCAAGAGAAGAAATCTGACAAGTACTTAGCAATATGGGATTGTAGGCTCAAGGAGAATTCAGCACTGGGGGATGAATTTAGAAGTGGGAGGAAATTGGATGTGTTCTTTAAGAGATAGTACAGGGAGAAAAGAGCTAGGCACTGAATGCAGGAAATGTCCATAAGTAAGGAATGGAAGATGAAAAGGAGTCTTCCAAGACGGGGGAAATGATCGGAGAAGTTGGAGGTGACCCAACAGTCTTCTAGCACCAGAGACCAAGGTTGAAATGAGGAAGAATTACAGAGAGCTAACCATTAGTCTGGATTTGATGAAGGTCACTGGTGGCTTTAGAATCCCTATTTTTCTCTGTATCTTTTTACCCAGTGTCCATCCAATACACCAAAATTAACTGGAAGGTTATGGAGACTTGGAAGCATGGGAGCTGGTTACTGTGTTCTTCCTGCTAAAGATTTAAGCAGCAAACTGTTTAAAAATATTTATTTATTTTGAGAGAGAAAGAGAGCATGTGCACAAGTGGGGGAGGGGCAGAGAAAGAGAGAAAGAAAGTATCCCAAGCAGGCTCCGCACGGCCAGCTCAGAGCCAGATGCGGGGCTCAATCCCATGAACCATGAGATCATGACCTGAGCAGAAACCAAGAGTCAGACGCTCAACCGACTGAGCCATTCGGGCGCCCCTAAGCAGCAAACTTTTTGTCTCAAGGCTTAGAGTCGAGAAAGCTTCAAAAATGTATTTGTATATATATTTCCTGCTTTAGGAAATCCTGTCTAGTGAGCACTATTCACTCTTGTTTTGATGAATCTTATAAGATGTCAAGGTCATCATGAGTGTCAGTTCTCATTGTTCAGAGCTAAATATGTGGAGGTAAAAAAGGACATCGGACTGAATGTACACTGACCCCAGGACAGCCCTGGAAGTTTCTTCCCCCTCCCTCACTAAAGTTCTGCTATGTCATCTCTCTCCTCTTTCTCCTTAAGGTGGCCTGATGAATTGAGGTCTTGATTACAATGTGCACCAGAGAAGATGGAAATGACAACCCAACGCTAGTATCTCAAGTTATCACCTGAGTAGCAGGTGGTGCCACGTTCAAGGCTTGAACTGAGAGGCTAGAAGGATCACAGTCAACAAAATGTTAAAGGGCCCGTCTCCTGTCCCCCTGCAACCTCCCCTGGGAATCTATTCTACAGAAACTCACGTGTCTGTGCAAAGATCCACGTATAGGGAAATTCATCCCAGCCTCGATTACGATACTGAAAAGCAAGGGGGAAAACCCACAGATGTCTGGTAAGAAAAATATTGAACTAAATTGTGATACATGCATAGTCTGGAATATTCTGCAGCCATTGAGAAGAATGTGGTAGGTCTGTATATTCTGATGCAAACATCTCCAAGACATATTTATATTGTAGCAAAAAGAAGCTCGTAGTACAATAAGCACAGTAAGAGCCCATATATGCAAAAAAAAAAAAAAAGCCTTATATATGTGTATTTGCACATAAATGTATGTGAGTGCATAGAAAGGGGACAGAAAGGAACCCACTAAACCAGGAACGGTGGCTACCTCAGGGGAGCAAGGTGGAAATGCGGGGGAGGGGGGGGGCTTCCTCAGGGGGACATTCAATGTGCTTCTGTATTGTTTGATCCTTTTACAGCATGAATGTATTCACACATTACCTGTGTCATTTAAAAACATGTTTAGTACAAGAAAAGAGTTCTCACTCAGCTTTGCAGCAGAGGTAATTAGGATGCAGAGTCTGAGAAGAGCTAAAAGAAAGGCAAAATGAAAGAAGGCTCCCTCGAATCGAGAGAGCCCCCCCTCCCCTCCCCTCCCCAATTCCATTTCCTGTTTTCTCCCCATCTGCAGTCACCTGCGGTTTGAAATACGTTATACCACATTTCATATCACAGGCAGAAGCTCTGCCCTCTTTCTCTTCCGCCTCCTCCCCTGAAGACACACCAATCTCATTTTTTAATTGAATATTCAAAGGTTCGTGTTACGAAGAACGAGTTATGGCGGTTCCAGCTGTGCATCTTCCTCTCACTGCCGTTACTCGGAAAATAAAGAGTCCCATAAGCACCCAAGTGGGCAACCCCTGGCCCCTTCTACCCACCCCCCCTCGCCCCGCCCCTCTTCCAACCTTAGTGGCATAGGAAGCAAACAGTATATGAGGCCCTTGGGAACTGAAGGTGCGTCAATATCAATGGAGTTTCTGGCCTCCTGTTTCAAGCCCCGTGGCTAAGTCAGTAGCTGAGGTTCTCAAGGATGAGACCAAAACCAAAAGGTTGGAACTCATTGCCGACCACTGGCCTTTCCCTAAACTTGCTCCTCTGGCCTCTCTGCACCTCGTCGTAGACACACTGAAATAGGATTCTCTCGTGGGCCTGATCTCTCACACCTTCCCTTTTCTCCATCATAGACCCTGCAAACCTTCAGGATGATCAAAATCAGTGAATAGTTCAGTGATGCACAAAGGAATATTAAACAGCTGATACAAATATCTTCTAAGAATATTTAATGACAAGGGAGCACCTGGGTGGCTCAGTCGGTTAAGTGTCCGATTTCGGCTCAGCTCATGTTCTCCCAGTTCGTGGGTTTGAGCCCCGGCGTCAGGCTCTACGCTGACAGCTCAGAGCCTGGAGCCCACTTCGGATTCTGTCTCTCTGTCTCTCTCTCTCCCTCTCAAAAATAAATAAACATTAAAAAAATTAAAAAGAGGGGCGCCTGGATGGCTCAGGCAGTTAAGCTGACTTTGGCTCAGGTCATGATCTCACAGTTCGTGGGTTTGAGCCCCATGTTGGGCTCTGTGCTGACAGCCCAGAGCCTGGAACTTGCTTCAAATTCTGTGTCTCGCGGGGCGCCTGGGTGGCGCAGTCGGTTAAGCGTCCGACTTCAGCCAGGTCACGATCTCGCGGTCCGGGAGTTCGAGCCCCCGTCGGGCTCTGGGCTGATGGCTCAGAGCCTGGAGCCTGTTTCTGATTCTGTGTCTCCCTCTCTCTCTGCCCCTCCCCCGTTCATGCTCTGTCTCTCTCTGTCCCAAAAATAAATAAACGTTGAAAAAAAAAATTAAAAAAAAAAGAAAAAAAAAGAAAAAAAAAATTCTGTGTCTCCCTCTTTCTCTGCCCCTCCCCCGCTCTCTGCCTGTCTGTCTCTTAAAAATAAACGTTAAAAAAAGTTTAATGAAAAAAATTTAAAAGAATATTTAAGGAAAAGGAAAAATGATCACCAAATATGATCAAGCAAATAACAAAACAAAACCCCAATCATTCCAATCATGGGGGGCGGGGAGTGTAGATGTATTTTTGAAAGCTTGGAAGAATATTCAGGTGACTCTTGAACAACACAGGTTTGAAGGGCCTGGGTCCACTTATACGTGGATTTTTTTTTCAATAAATACAAGGTAGTCCTATAAATGTATTTTCCCTCCCTTATGTTTTTCTTAATAACATTTTCTTTTCTCTACTTTATTGTAAGAATATAAGTATAGAATACATACAACATACAAAGTAGGTGTTAATGTTACTATTTATGTTATCAGTAGTAAGACTTCCAGCCAGCAATAGGCTGTTAAGTTATTAAGTTTTGGGGGAGTCAAAAGTTATACGTGGAGTTTTGACTGTGTGGGGGTCAGTGCCCTTAACCCCTGCCTTGTTCAAAGGTCAACTTTACACCAGAATGGTGACAATGGTTACTTTTGGGTGGAGGGAATGCAGGTTGTTGCTTTTCTGTGTTTCCCAAATTTTCTACAATAGGCATATTTTACTTTGGGGGGGGGCATAGTTTACTTTTATAACCAGAATAAAAAGATTCCTTTCTAAAAAAAGATTCTATGATGATACTTTCCTAGGCAGGGAAGCAGCCTCGGCTTTTGTGGCAAAATCTTCAGCTACAAGTACCAAAAAAAGGTGCTTTAACATACAGATAACTAGAAAATTCGGTTAAGTATTCAGCTTTCGGGCAGTTTTATTGTATGTAAACACTTATTTTAGCAATAATACAATAAAACCCTATTATTATCCTTATTATAACATTACTATGATATCTACATAACTTATTATTATACAGTATAACTTATTATTATAAGGATTCATGTGAACCAGCAGTCGAGTCACATATCCGGAAACATGCCGCTAAAAGACTTGATGAAGCAATCAGGTGGACGAGAGCCCGATCTGCTGCCTCCAGCGCCACCAAGAGAGCGGACGCCACTGTATCATCAGCCATAAGAACCCCCAAAAGCCCCAGAAAAGCCTTTCGGTGGGGGGGACGGGGGGCCGGGCAGCTTAGGGGGCCCTGGGGAGGCACGAAGGAAACCATGCTTACCATACAGGGAGAAAGGTCCGTTTGGGGCAAATCCAATAGATGAAACTCTGGATTTTAATACACCAGATCAATTCCTGAGTGGCTTTTCATTCTATAAAAGGACTCGCAGCAGGATTCCATTAAATGGCCAGCTCTCCTAGCGCATTTAAGATGGGATTCAATAGACAGAAATTCAGCTGTCGCGTACCTCTATAAGACGACAATGGCAACACACCCCCACCTGGACAGACTGTCTGAAGGGCTGTTTCTATTCCACTTAGAGAGACCCTGCTGAGCTAAAAGCACAGACTTGCCTTTTCCACAACTCTGTCTCTCCACCCAGCTCAAGGAGTCAAAGCAGGGAAGAGATGGAGTTAACCACCTCGGTCGGAAGCAGAAGCAGGCAAGAGCCTCAAAGAAATTCAGCTGCGGGACCAGGAAACACTCAGAACCACACAAGGCTGGAGCTGGTAACACCCTTCGGGCTCCGACCCACTCCGACCCGCTCATGTTACAAAAGGGGAAAGAGAGACTCAGAGAGAGGAAGTGACCTGTCCAGAGTCACAGAGTGATTTAGTGGCCGAGGAGTGGTGCTGGGCTCCAGGGCCCTGTCGAGAGGACTGCTACTCTCAAATGGAAAAAGCTGACTGCAGTGACAGACTTCTTTACGCAGCTGAAATGTGAGGGCATGGGGCATGGGGCCTGTGGCCTGATGACAGTCCAGAGGGAGGAGGGTCACGGAACACGACCTGGAACCCTATGGGCTCCGCAAGGCGGCTCCCACCCACGGAAGGCAACTGAGGCCGCAGAAGCCATGGAGGGGCTGGTCCTCCTCTTCTGGGTTCCCTCTGCCCTTTCTCTCCCTTCGGACTGGGGCCTAAGCCTCCGGCCCGGGGCCACTCCACCCAACTGGCCAGATTCTAGGTACAACAGCTCTACCTCAGGCCAGGGGCGACCTCTGCTCAGGGTGGGTCAGCCTCTCCCACAAGAGCCAGACTTCAAGCCAGGCTCTTTAAACAGAGTTTTCTAGGTGTTCTGGTCACTGTTATCTCCAATCTGCTAAAAAAAAAGAAAAAAAAAAGAAAAAGAAAAAAGGTTTACTCACAGGCCTCTGGATGAATGCCCAACTGTCCTCTAGGGAGCCTGAATTTGCCTCTGCCTCCATCTGGTCTCATTTAAAGTGGATCTGAAAAAACCCAGTTCCTGCCTCAGCGCCGGTGTTCAGAGCTGGGGGCCTCTGCTGGGAAAGGAAACCCAACACTACCTCACACCTCATCAGGGTCGCCAAAGCGGGGTTCTGCTCCCGCTCTCCCCCACCCTGGGGTCTTCAATGGGGGGGGGGGGTCAGAGGGGGCCCTGGCCGGAGAAACCAGAGCCCTGAGTCCTGTCCCCGCGGAGGCCTGCAAATCTCTTCCCCCGTCCCCTGTAAGTGAGTGGAACGGATGACCCAAGCCCAGGGCGAGCTGAGAGCACGTGTCACAATTCAGCAGATGGCTGCCTTTAATGGGGAGACACAGGACAAGAGGATAACATTTTTTCTCACCCTCCTGAGCATGTGGCCTCCTTCCTCTGTGCAAGCAGCGGAGAAACCCACGGTTTCAAATCCCAGCAGCAAAAGCCTTCTCCTGCCAAACTGAGGAGGAAGGGTCTGTGTTTCTAATTTATTCTGCACCCCCCCCCCAAGTTGTTACTTAAAATAATCCATCATTACACGGCTGGTGGCTCCAAGATTTTTATTTAAAGCAATATGGAAAGAAAGAAAAAGAACGAAAACCCACACGTAACCCGTGGCTGTGCTATCTGGGATTTAAGCTGAGGATCTTTTTAACATCACCGAGTCTTCAAAGAACCCAAGTATACTCTTCTCTGACCCGAGTGTGCTGGCGGGGGTGGGGGAGAGGCGGTGAAAAGACGGGGAAGTTGGGGTAATGGCAGGATTTTTATTGCTTAGAAACATCACGAAAAGGGCAGGTTTGGCTTTTATTTATTTATTTATTTATTTATTTATTTATTTATTTTTTAATGAATCTGTGTCATCTGTTATGTGTTTCATTGTTTCGTCCACTGACCAGCGATATCGCTTTGGACTAAGTCACTTGGTCTCCCCGTACCCATAAATGAAGAAAACAGGAATACTTGTTCAGGAAGCTGTTGGGAAAAATGAAATACAGATGGAAGCATTTGGAGATCGCTGAAAGAAACATGTTATACTTATCTATGGTATTCTCTGTCTTCCTCTTCTCTTTCTCTTTCTTCAATGGGGTCTTAAAGTACATGCAACTTAAAAGCCCTTCTCAATTGTTCATGCTAATACGAAACCACGGCTCTGATAATCCAGAAACCCAGGCAAGTCCAGAAATCAGTCCTATTTAGTTTTGGAATACCTTTTTCCAGGGGGCTTATCTTCCTAATTAGTTTTGCTCAGGCTAATGCTCCGGGTTTGTTCCCTTACGGCACACAAAGGGAGGGGCCATGCTGGGTAACAAAGCCAGCAATTAACAGAAAATTTACAGCAGAGACTCCACAAGGTAAATGCTATGCACATGACTGCAGATCAAAATCTCATTATGCTATACAGACAAATCGCTCAGCTGTAATGCAGTTTTGTAATAAGAACACCGCTACCACTCAACATTTCCAGGATTTAGGAAATGAAAGGAAACGGGACTGATTCCTGCCTGTCATCTGGAAGCTTTCGGAGGGCACGGTCCTGTGTGCCTCGGCACCACCATATCCCCGGCACCTGGCACAGGGCCTGGCGGAGTTGGTGCCCAACCAACTCTGTTGGAGGAATGAATGAATGAGAACAGAAGCGTGTGAATTAACACATGAGATGTCCCCGGCCCGGGAGCAGGGTGAGAAATCAAGCATCTTCACACCTACCCCTTTCTTAGCTGAAGCCCTCAGGAAGCCTTTCCAGTCACCCACCGCCCCCGTTCACGGCTGGATTAGGTCCACTTGTAGTGAATTCTTACAGTAGGCGGCAGCTCCTTGTGCCGGCAGCTCCTTGTGCATGGACCACAATGGTAATCACATGGCTATTGAAATCTGCCTCCATTATTAGATTGTAAACTCCCTGAGGGAAGGAAGGGCTGTGTGCCTTTGGTGGGGGGAGGGGAAGACATTGTCGTCCCCTCCCCCCACCCTTTTTCTTTTGAAAAGTCTCAAACACCTAGAAGAGTTAGAAAAATGGTACAATGATCACCCATATACCCTTGACTTAGATTCAATAACTTGTTCTATTTGGGGCCATGTAAATTTTCGTCTGTGCTGTATCCTCAGTGAAGGTATGGGTACATACTGGGGCTTTGCTCTCCCGGGTCGGGGTATAATATTACTTTTAGTGTGAGGTGGTAGATATGGCTGAGGCTGGAGCTTCAAGGGAAATCAAGGGTTAGGTGCCATTTGATAGCAAAGATCAGAATGCAGAGACCAGCTTCTCCCCGCCCTGGAGGCGGTTGCCCTGAGACAGCTGCCCCAGACCAACCCCAGGTAAGGCAAAGTTAGCCCCTGCAAGATCCTTCATTAGGGAGAAAGACCATTACCGGGCTGCCAGTGGAGGAGAGCATCGTTGCCCACATTGTGGGATTGGTTCAAGCCAGAACCAATGAGCCGTTCTTTCTATGGGACAGCACTTACAGTCTGGACCCCAAAACACAACATTGAAAGAAACAGCTCGATGAAAGGGCCAGAAGATACCGCCCCTGAGGCCTGGGCTGTGCCTTGCTTGGTTACCATGGAGAAGTCATATGACCTCAAAGAGTACATCCTGGGGCACCCAGGTGGCTCAGTTGGTTAAGTGTCCAACTCTTGGTTTCGACTCTGGTCACGATCTCACAGTTCGTGAGTTCGAGCCCTGCATCGGGCTCTGCACTGATGGTCCGGGGCCTGCTTGGGATTCTCTCTCTCTGTCCTTCCCACACTCTCTCTCTCTCAAAGTAAATAAATAAACTTAAACAAAAAGTATATATTAATAGCAGCCCAAGCCACCTCACGGGCAGTGGTTGGGAGTGGGGATATCCCAAGAATCTTCTACAGTTCTCTATTTCACAGCAGCCACAACTGGTCTCTCCAACTAGACCATAAGCTTACAAGCCAGAAACTATGTCTACTACTTTTCTTTTTTCATATAGTTGACCAGGGCTAGCCATAGTGCTGGACACTGAGCAGTCAAAAATAAACATCTGTGGACGCAATGGAGAGAGAGTTTTGTCACACAGAATCTTTGTGGTGTTCATTCAGATGGGATCGGGTTGTGTTGTGTACGCCAGAGCTGAACTTCCAAGCTCCGTGCATGCCCAAAGAAGGGTCCTATCCAACAATTCTGTGGCCTGTTTTAAGTCACTAATGATGTTGCCTTACTAGCCATGGTGACCCTCAACCACACACACACACACGCACACGCACACACACACACACACGCGTGCCCCAGAGCAATGCATGTGTGGCACCATGTCCCGGAGCTCATTCAAAAGAACTCCTGAGCTAGGTTTATTCTCCAGACTTCTCTTTCCAAACCCCGCATGCATATTCCTTGGAAGAAACAAACAGCCATCAGCCGTCCAAGGTCTCCTGAGTTAATTCCATCTTCCCCAGGCGAATTACAACTTCTTGCAGACACAAAGAGCAGAGACAAATGACACATAAACAAGAGCTTTACAGCCTGGGGGAGGGGGGCAGGGAGAGTGACGTCAGTTTTCCCAGAAACCCATTTATCCCGATAACAAGGTTTCAAGTGCTGGGGCTGCTCTTTCAGCTTCAGAATCTGGCATACAATTAAGTTCTTCACCATGCAGTATGGGCAAGGCCAGCCAGAGCAAACGGGGACCATGCAAAGCAAACCAAATGGCCCTAAACCACCCCCAACTCCCATCCGCAGAACAAAGGGGACCTCCGGGTGGCCCAAATTGTGCCTGAGGTGAAGCACAACCTTCTGGAATGTTCCCCTTTACAACATCTGCCCTGCAATCCTAATCCAGGCAAGGGGGACTGGCGGCAGAGTATGGACAGGTCGATGCAAATTAATTAGCTGACAAGAAAAATCATTAGCATCCTTTTTGGTCACTAAAAATGGAGCAAGTGTAATCCAGGAGAATAATCCCTCGACTTCGGCCCTGCCATCTCTAAAATGCAGGTTAACAGGGAGCAGAAAAGCTCTCTGAGAACCCTCAAGATGCCACAGCAATAAATATTACAGTGCCAATCTTAGAGCGAAGAGAATTCTCTCAAATTCCACAATCACAGAGCACTGTCTCCTATCTACTGGTCCTTGCACATCAACATAAAGAGCTGGGTTGAGGTCTACAGGGGTTGGGGAGGTCCAAATGAAATCACCGTGCCCTTCCAAACAGGGACCAGAGGGGTGTCATGAATTCATGTATACCCTGTAGAGAAAATGCTATCAGATTCTGAAAACAGATTTTGAAAACAAATCAATTTCAATGGCACCAGATACCTAGAGGCTTTTTTTTTTCTTTCTTTTTGTACTGGAATTGCAGTGCATGGATTATTTCCCTGAAGAAGTAAGCCACAGGGTTTAAAAACTTGCGTGTGTGTGTGTGTGTGTGTGTGTGTGTGTGTGTGTGTGTGTGGTTCGGAGATTTCCATCAAGTTCCAGAACATCAAGTTCTTCCTCACCAAAGAGTGTAGGTAACTGTGGGCTTCTTAAAATCTCAGACACCCGTGGATGAAAAGAAAGGCTAGATTGTTGCCCCAAATGGAATCATCCCCTCCCTGTGCAACCACGCCTCTGGTCTGAAAACACAAAATAAAATAAATAAATAAAAACCAAACAAACAATCATGGAGCCTCAGGTCACTTCAGTATGATTTCTCTGAACATCCCAGGCTGGAAAACTTCAGTTCTTTAAAAGAACATTTTTTTTTTTTTTCTCCAGAGTCTGCTGCCAACAAAAAGAGAGACGGCATCGCTTTTACAAGCCTCACACTTATTTTCCTGAGTCCCCGCAGAAAGAAGCCGGCTCCACAGGTTTTGGCATACCAGCCCAATTACACCGAACACGGAATCCAGACAGACACCCAGTGGCCCGCAAAACCCGGGTCAGGTAGCCAGAAACATGCCAAAATACGCAGCCAGCCACCTACAGGCCAGCGAACTGCACCCCCGCCCCCACCCCCGACACACACAAATGGGACCCAGAGGCAAACAGCACAGAGGAGTCGGGACACACGCGCACACACCACGGGGGTGAGCGCACGCAGAGAAACAGGCGGACTCATCTAGGGTCACAGACAACCCGGGCGCCGCCGCCCGCCGGGGAGGCACGAGTGCGCGCGCGTGCACTCACACGCACACGGTGATACACACACACAGCCGCAGTCACATATGTAATGCACATGGAGAAACCCTACCCCCCCGCCAGTCACCTCCCCGCCCCCCTCACCGCTCACCGCCTCCTGCCCCAGGCTCACCCCAGCCCCGCGCCCCTCTTGCAGGGGAGGCCCGGGTCCCGGCCGGCGTCTGGGCTCCGGGGCGCGGCCCGGCGCCAGGAGGAAGCAAGGCCCGGGGGGAGGGGAGGGGGGGCGGGGGGGGCCGGGGACCCCGAGGGCTAGGCGGCTGGCGCGGCCATTCATTCGGCAACGCCCAGCGGCGCGGCGGCAGCTGCAGCGAGGGAGGCGGCGGCGCTCTCTGCGGCTCTCGGGCAATGCAAGTTCGGCCGCCGGCCCGCAGCCTCCGCCGGGGCCCCCACCCGCCCGCCGCCACCGTTCCCGGGGAGCGGCCGGGAGAGTGAGCCGCTGACCCCGGGAGCAGAAGTCCCGCCGCGCCTCGGCTCCTGGATGCTGCCCGCTGCCCTCCTCGCCGCAGTGGCGGCGGCGGCGGCGGCGGCGGCCGGGTCTCCTCCGCCCTTCCCAGGCTCCCGGCACCCCAGCCCCGCACTCACCACCTGGCGAGCTATATCGGTCGCTGCCATCGCTCCTGCGTCCGCCAGGGCTGCCACGGGTGCCGCCGCCACCGGAGCTACAGCACAAGAAACAGCGGAGCTCCACCGACAAAGAGAAAGTGTTACACTTCGGGCGCGACCAAGTCCGGTGGGGGGAGGTGCAAGGGAGGGGCCCCCGCGCCGCTGCTCCAACCCCAGCCTCCCCTCGCTGGCCCACCCCTTCGGAAGCGGGGTACGGGGAGGGGGCGGATTTCGCGTGCCGCTTCCCCCTGCGGCGAGCCCCGTTCCAATTCTCCCTGTAACCTCGGCTGTAGGCCTTTGCGAAGGGGGGCGGGGGCTCCCCTCGGTGACCACGTCCTCTGCCCCCCCCCGCCACTGGGCTCCGTGGTACGTCCCGACCTCTGCTGAATTGTCACACCCCCCTGCTCTCGCCTTACATCCCCGAGTCCCCAGACCCCAGAGGCTGGGAGGGAACCCCCGCCCCTCCCCCTCCCGCGCACAGCTCGGCGGCTGAGCTCTGCAGTCGCCCCCCTTCACTCCTCCCCGTCCCCCGTCCCCCCTCTTCTTGTCCTCCCAGATCTCCGGGTGCTCCGGAGGGAGCGCCTGCGGCTGGGGACTCGAGGCTCCAGCACACCTCCTCCCCCCGCCCACCCCACCCCCAGTGGCCCGGGAGTGCGGCTGGGGCCGGAGTGGGGTGGGGGGGCAGCTGCGGCACCTGCCGCTCCACGGTGGAGCTTAGAAAGGGGGCAGTTGGGGGGAGCCGCACTGCGGCCCCGCAACTGAGCTGTGACGTGCGGAGTCTGGGACCAGCGGACTCGAGGTCCCCTTCTGCCCTGGGGTTTCCGAGCCTCGGATGCTGTGGACTATAATTTCGTGGAGGCGAGCTCACCACTGTTGGGTACTTAATACAGACGGACCCCACGCCTCCTCTCCCTACCAAGCCCTAGGCGCTCAGCGAGTGAGCCGGGGCTCAGACCACCACCCCCTTGTAGTGCCGGGGCCGCCGGGGAGTCTCAGAGGAGGAGCGTGGGAGTGACGCGGGGCGGCCTCCGGTGGCTCTGTCCCGCCCGGATTTCCCCTTCACCTTCGCTCAGCCCGGGAGAAGGCGGCCGGCTGTGCGCAGTGAGAACCTCCGAAGGCGGAGGCTGTGCCAGCCTGCTTTCCTCTTCCTCTCGGCCAACCGCCGCCGCGGGTCCTCTCCCTTGCCCGCGGCACCCCTCCACCTCTCTGGCCCTGAAGCCCCCCGCCCCTCTCCCGGGAGCGGCTCCTTCCTAGCTCCCTGGGACTAGCGAACCCTGGCCCACTTGGCGTGCCCGAGGCTCTAGCGGCCGGACACCCTGCTCCGCTCCTCAATAGGGCTGGTGCCCTGGTCTCGGAGAGGCACACAGACCCTCGAGTGGAACCCGGGACCGCAGGGGTAGGCCGGGCCATGGGCAAAGGCCGGGACAGCGAGGTGGCCCCGGATGGGGCGGAGGAGATGGCCCGAGAGCGGCCCAAAGGCGGGAGCGGCGGAGGGGGAGGCAGGAGGGAGGAAAGAAGAAAAACAGGAACCAGGGAGAGAGAAGGAGAGGGGACCCGATACAGAAGCCCAGGCCTGGGGAGAAGGAGGGAAGGCAGAGAAATGGGGTGGCCACATGAAGTGTCTCCCTGGCACTTGCTTCCACCTGCCGGGACAGTGCTTCTCACACTGACTCGGGGAGCTCTCTCCATGCGCAGTGTGAACCGGGACTCGGCAAAATGCATCCCCAGTGCCTAGTTCTGGGTAGGGCATCCAGGAAGTGCCCAATTAAACGTTTCCTGAACAGGAGGGCAGGGGATTTTGGATGGGGGAGGGGCGGGTACAGAAGAAAGACACACAATGAGAGGGTAGCAGTCGGGACAGTCGTGACGAGCCAAGTATTGGGGGCGCCCACTGTGGGCCCATCATTGCGCCAGAGACCCAGGAGAGGCCAAAGGAGAAGAGCCGGGCACAATCGGGGACCAGTAGGGGGGACTTAGGCAGACAGCGCGAGGCCTCAGGGCGAATGGTGATGGCTTGGAAGAGGGGCGGCTTTTGTCTCCCAGTCCCGCCGTGGGGGGGGGGGGGGGGGGGGGGGGGGTGGGGGGGGGGGGGAGGGCTGGGGCAGGGCCTGGGGGTGGCGCCAGGCCCTGGGTTGGGGTGGCAGCAACCCGAGGGACCAGCGCTGTACATGAGGAACCGCCGCAAGGCAGGGCCCAGACCGGATGGGGGCGGGGAGTCCGAGGTGACCCGCCGCTTCCCGGCTGGGCGTCTGGGAGGGAGAAGGGCCCGAGGTTACTAAAGGATCTGGACCTGGGTCTTGGGTGGTGGCGGGACGAGAGGCGCGCGTCTGGAAGCCAGGGTGAGAGCTGATACCCAGAGAGGGTCGCGGGCCGGGAGGAGGGCCGGGTGGAGCGGGGCTCCCCAGGAATCCTTCCTGCTCCCCCGCCCACTGCCCTCCCGCCCCAGCGCTCCGCGCTGGCCACAGCTCGGTCCATTTCAGCCCCTCCGGGGGCTACCTTAGCTCAAAACCCTTGGCTCCCTGCCCACGTGACCCACTCGGCCCGTCGGTCCCTAGGGACCCTCAGAACCTCGGAGGTCTCCTCCTCCAAAACGCTGGACCTCGCAAATTGGAACCAAGTGTGTCATTCGAGTGTCCTGCCGCCCTTTGTTCCCTCTAAGATCGGCCACCCGCGGCTGCAAGCCCTCGCTGGGGCCGGGGCATCCCCGTTTCCGTGGGATGTGGGCTGGTGTCTACGTGGGAGCAGGTGTGCCTGTGTCCCTGTCAGCGCGTGGGTCAGCTATGTGTCTGTGTTTCAGTATGTGTGTGTGTGTGTGTGTGTGTGTGTGTGTGTGTGCAGAGAGGCCTCCGCTCACAATGTTCTCAGTTGTAGGTACCTTGCCTCACCCGGTACAGCAGGCGGATAACTGAGAGGTGTGGCTCATAATGCTCATTTCAACCAAGAGGTTTGGGAGCTCACTGGGTTGGCATCACCCAATCTTTGGCCCTGGGTCGCCTGCCCAGGCACAGGGCGGGCAGGAAGGCTGAGGCAAGAGGGCCTGGAATGTCTGTCCCCATGGGTGAGCAAAGCAAAAGATCCCCTTCGTGAAGGGGCGTTGTGGACTCTCGGGCACCGCCGTGAACACTTGCTCGTGGTCCCTGTGCCCTGGCAGGATCCTTGGGCCCAGCACAGCGTCTGGCAGGTGCTCAATCAATGTTTGTTGAGTGAATGAATGAACGGAAGCATTTAAATGTGGTGTTTTCAGTGTTTCCACTGTCCTCGAGGAAGCTGGAGCGCGCAGCGACTTCCCAGGGCCAGCAGGTGACTGTCATTAGCATGCTAATGTTGTTTGTGGAACCTGACTCCCGGGGAGGGGAAGCGGCTACCCCTGCTAGCTAGGAGTGGACCCTAATTGGAGCCAAGCTTTAGAAAGATCACTCAGACTGCTGGGGTGGGGGCGGGGGTGCTAAGACTGAATGGGGGAGGGGAAAGAGGGCAATGAAATGGAGCTGAGAGCTCAGGAAAGACTTCGTCCTGGAATCGTGGCTTTATGGAAGCAGAAAGAGAAGGATAGCCACGTCGGGCGAGAGCGAAGAAGCTCGAGAACAATCCGAAAAGATCAGAAAGTTGGAGGGGGAGGACAAGGCAAAGCAGAGGGAAAGCGATCTGGAAGTAAACAAATCCAGATAGTGCTGATAGAATCAGAGACTCAGTTAAGGGGTTCAGCCAGGATGAACTAAGGAGTCCTTTGTGCATTATTACCTGCCGCCCCGGGTTGTACATTCATTTATGCCAGCGGTTCTCAAAATGTGCTCTTTGTCTAGCAGCGTCACCTGGGAAGTTAGTAGAAATGCAAATTCTCAGTCCCCACCCAAGACCCACTGAATCAGAACCTAGAGAGGGCTGGGCCCCAGCAATCTGTGTTTGAACTCAATGCGAAAGTGTGAGAACCGGAGGGACGGGACACAGGACTGGTAAGGTGTGGTAGGATATCGAGGGAAAAGCTTGAAGCCTGGACTCAAGCCGTAATGACAGATCCTGGTGGATTTCTACATGGACAGCATAAGGGTACCGAGTGCATTGGGTTGGGGAACGGGTGCCAAGAAACGTGCAGGGAGCTGGAAGGTTCTAAAAATAAACTTTGCTTCCTTTGCAATTTTACTCACTCGCTCCACAAATATGCACAAGCCTCCATTGCACACCAGCCACTGTGCTAAGTGCCAGAGAAAAAAAATGGGTGACGAGAATCCCCACCGCGACGACCCGAGGGAGCTCCCAGGCCAGTTGCCAGATACCTTGACAACCAGGGAGGTGAAAAATGGTATCATCAGCCAGGAGCCAGACCTTGGGGAGATAGAGACCCAGAGAGGTGAAGAGAGGCACCTGAAAGGACAATGCCCGCTCAGTTTGGAAACATGCCCATCGCAAATGGATCC